TGAGGGACAGCTCCTGCAGACTTTCTTGTATGGTGACAGAAGTATAGAAACTTTCCTGAGTTAGTGTTAGACATCCCACGAACAGATTTCATTCTGGCCTCCTGAGGGCAGTCTGTCCTAAGGCATTACTCCATTGGTAATGCCTTGGTTAGTGTACCTATGTAGTTTCAGGGAAGTGCCTGTGTAGATACGGAATTGATGGCTGGCATTGCTGTTACCAGTTTTGTAAACCCCAAATCCTACTTGATCTGGTAACAGATTGCCAGTTTGGGTATGATGATGTCAAACGTGTTGAGACAACATACAAGTAAAAGCCACCAAATCCTCCTTGGTATCCTCATAGGCGCATTAGGATGATGCCGCTGGGAGCAGGGGGAGCAGATGTCACTGAGCTAGCTCTGAGCCAGAGGAGCAGTGTGGGTGGCACTCCCCTTGCTCAGAGTGGCGCTGACACTGCTGAGGTGGCCTGGCACGTTGGCAGGTTTGGGATTGCTGCATTGTTTGGAACAATTTGTTTAGGAATAGATGCAGGCTGGTTTTATGGTGCTGCTGAAGCAGTTTGATGTTTTGTGAATTCTTATTTGCACATCACCCTGCTCTGTATTTCTAACGCAAAATGCACTAAAAGTACATGTTGCACCTGCATGTTGGAGGCTGTATTGTAAAGAGATCTCTGCCTGTGCGTTGAAGACCTGTTAAAAGCTCAAAGTTGCAGTGTTTTAATTCCTGATACTGTTGGTCTGAGTTTTTATCCTATTTTTTCAGGTAGTTGGTAGATTTCTAGTGAATATTTCCTGTAGCCCTAGAGAATATTCTACATTAACATATGTAGAATAAACATGAATTACTAATTAGTCAGAGACTGTACAGCTGAGGTTAATACAGAGTTTAAGAAAAAGAAAACTTCTATTGTAGCTTTATTACAAAAATGTTCAGTGAATCTGATTCTGAAGTGTTGTAGGAGGAAGTGAGTTAATACATTAATAAAACCGGAGTAGTGCATTATACTATAGAGTAGTGCAGGGTTTTCTTTTAGACAGGCCCTTTCCACAACTGACTGCAGCAGTCTACAGTCTACAGTGAAGAAGATGTGTGTAGTCTGTTGTATGGGAAGTCTTCTGAGGTATTTCCGCCACCTTTTGCAGTAGCTTGGAAAGATCCTGTCTTTGTCAATGTAGTTTTGTAGCCCCAGTTCTCTGTAGAAATGCTCTGTGATGTCTGGGCCAAGAGCTGGCAAAAAAAAGGCTTGACAATATGTTCTGCTGTGTGTGTAAAACAGGACTGTTTCAGGCAAAAAAAGCCCACCCCAGTCCATTCAGTGTGATGAGATTTGTTGAGCTGTGCTGTAAGAAGTGTGATCATTCTGAGCAGTGGCCATGTGCTGTTGTTATGGTTTTCTCCTTTCTCGTTCTGCAGCTGTGCAGCTGCCTCTGGCCTATTTATGCTGCTACAGAACTAGAAGGTGACAGGAGTTGTGAGAGTTGGCCCTTCCCCAGGGTTTACCTGTTGCACTGCAGCTGTACAAAGCAAACAGTTTCTCCTTCCTGGTGATGCTGGGCTGAAGTTCATTAATCATCCTCTGTACAGCTGCTGAAATCAGTGCACACAGGTACTGTTGCTGGAGTCTGGCTTTTTTGCTCTGAGTGTGAGTTGAGTGTTATGTTCCAAACCCTTGATATTTTTATTAGAGATTCAATGCAGATGAGATTATTTAATGTATTAATCAATCACTTCATGTAAAAGGATGCAAACTGTGGCTTTAATTTGGAATTAGAGTTGCAAGCTTTAAGACTTGAATGAATACAGTGTGCTGGCTGGAACAGGTCGTAAATTTCCTGGGGCAGGAGCTGTGTTCTCATCCGCTGCATGTGCCTTGTGTGCTCAGGGTTCTGTTCAGACAGAGAAACTGTGCAGGGGGAGGGACTTTTCTTTTAGCCAGTTCAGGAGAAATGGAGCTACATGTCAGCAAATCCTGCCCCTTGCATGTACATCGGAGTTGTGAATCGGGTCTGTTGTCAACGTGTGTGATTGAGCAGGCATTTCCAGTCCCTCTCTACTGCACCATGTGGGCTTGGCAGCTGGGTCAGGCAGCCAGAGCATGCAGCCATCCCCTCAGCGTCACAACATGATGGGTAAATATGAGCTCATGAAGTACTTGCTTACATATTAAATCTGTTTGGGCTGCTTGCAGAGATAAGGGTGTAGTTGCCCACATGTGGAGAATCAAGGTGTTTATTACATACAACCTAAGTGAATTAAAATGGTCTTTGAAAGTGTAATATAGAAAGCAGCTGTGATTTATAAGCTCGGGTTTCAAACTGGACTATAGTACGTTTTGATCCTCAGCATCCAGTGGGCTGTGATGGAAGGAGATGGTACATGTTAACTAAGGGGTGCTGCTGTTGTGAAGGTACAGGATAAAGGTGTTGTGTGTTAAGTAACACCACAAGCTGAAAAACCCATATGCATTTGGAATTTTGCGCCTGTTTGTTAGTACTCTTGACAGAGGTGTCCGTCATCCTCCTGAATGGCATTGCACTGAGTCCTTGATCGCTTTGCATGCGCTTGGAGTGATGGGCTTCCTAAATAATTTGAAGTCTTGCGCAAAGCTAGGACTTCTTTTTTTGGTCCTATAAAATGATATAGTACACTTTCAGGTCATACTATCTATCCTTGGAATTGGTGGAGAGAGATTAAACTTCTGAACATTACTTTGATGCTTCCAAGAATTTCAGATTTCTGGCTTGGAAAGCATGTCATTTTCTGGTGCCACGCTTCTATCTCTGAATTTGTAAACCCAAACAGTCCCAGTAACTAAGTAACAGCACAGCTGAATGTTTTCATAAAAACAACTTTGCTGCTTAGAGATGTGATTTACTACTTAAGTGTGTCTGTACATATATACAGAGGCAAAATGTGATGATGACCTCATCTTCAACCAGCTCACAAGAGCAGTCTCAGCTTTTTAGTCTCTGAGCCAAAGACAAATGCACTGTAAGCATACAGGGCTCCACTGACTTCAGCTGCAGGATCACCCATAATGTCAGTACTCACTCAGTTGCTGAGAGAATCCTGGTTGTAGTGTTCAATGCTTGAAATGTAAACCTAAAACAAAATAAATGTATTATCATCTTGCATCTTTCCCGGTACCTTTGCACAGAAAGGAAAGAAGGGAAACTAGTCAATATTCAGGGTTCTACAAGGAAATCTTAAACTTTTTATGGTTTTCATTTTGATACTGCCTTGCTAGAAAACTACTCTTAAGCAAATTTAACTGGATTTGGACTGTGCCATTTACTTAGAATCAATTATAAGTGATGTCACATTGCAATTTCTGGACACACAGAATAGACCTGCATCTTTTCTAACCTATTGAATAAAGCATCTTCAAGTGCTTTATTGGGTAAAAGTTTCTCAGAATTCATGGCTCATGCTCCTCTGTTTTGTTTAAAAAAGACTCTGGGTCACAAGCAGAATATTCTGATACGCTCTAGTCATTTCTTGATGCTGTATCTGTATTGATAATATTTAAAATTTCTTGTACTGAGACAGTTAATAGTCTTTACCAAAGGAAAACTTTCTATTTGTGTAATATTTATTGATGTTAAACCCACATTATATCAGCACAACAATCCAAAGTAATGATAATACATTTTCTTTCATAAATACAAATAAAAGGTGGCAAAATAAGGCTAGTGAGGCTAAACAAAAAAGTCAATTAGCATGTCACAGTCGAGAAGAATTTGGCAAATGATATGACATACTTCTTCTAGAATAGAATCAATTACTCCCAGATGACAGACCATGACGTTAATCTAGATTAACGATCCCCGAAACTGGTCATATCCTGCACCAGAATTGTACTACCGTATGTGCTAACGTTTATTAGTCACTAAAACACAACACAAACTTTGTGTACTTACAAAGCAATACACGTATAGCAGTAATGCAATATATGGTGTACACAATTACAAAATTAAAAAAACAAAACCCCTAAGTACAGGACTTCTGAATAACTGAACTGAGATAAAAGATTTCAACACTTTTATTATAAATAATGGAAGATACCATAGATGTGCTTCATATAAGGAATACAGTGTTTTCCTTTCATAGCAAAGTATCGTAGCTCGTACCATCACATGCTCGTTTTCCTTGTCAGGCCTAGTAATTCTCCCATCCCTCCCCCCCCTTCCTCTGAAATTCACTTGGTTCTACTTTAAAACTACTGAGTCAGGTCTGACTTAGGTGGGGCTCCAGGTCAGGTGGGTTTGCCTTGCTTTCCGAGTGTAGCCTTCAGGCTTTTCACCCGCGGCACACAGACGCTACCCGGTAAAGAGCCCACAGGAAAATGACAGGAGAAGGAGGAAAAAAAGCCATCTACCAGAGATATGTGCTAAGTTACGGGGGGAAAAAAGGCACACATTTGATGCTGGTTTTGTCCATCTTCATGTTCTACTTCCTCAGATCTGCAAGCTCAGCACCTGTGGTGTATACTTGTCATTTGAATTCATATTGCAGTCTCAACCCATTTTTCACTTACTATACATTTCTAAAATCCTCAGGCACATCACACAAGCTTTAAGCAGTCAGACATCCCACACATACACTCCCTAGTTTCCAGCTCACCTCAGATTCGGGAATGGGAGCATTATGAGGTTACAGGCTGTGTTCAGGAGAGCCACAGAGATTTTCAGCCTCTGCCCTGCCCCCCTCCCACTCCCTGCAATAACCCACTGCAGTGGGTCGTACTGATGGCATGTTTTCCCCATCTGGTTACCAATAGTTGTAGTCTGGAGGAGACTGTTATTACATGTCAGCTCTTTATTTTCTCTAAGCTGTTAAGTTACTCATGCTTGACCTGTCTTGGCTGTGTGCTCGTAAGTAAGCCTCCTCCTGGATGGCAAAATCAAAAATAAAGAAGAATTCAAAACCGCAGTGTTGATGTTCTGTGCAGAATCATCCATACTAACAGCATTTAAGGCAAGAGATTTTTTTTCCCTTGTAGACTAGAAAGCAGTTTGCAGAGATACAGTATTTGCTTGTGTTTTTCTTCCTTGTCCCTTCCTGGTTTACTCTTACAATATTGCACTTGTTCACTGTCGCTATCAGAATGCAGTGCCAGTTTAGAACTGTCAACAACCACACATTCTGATTTTCTTTGTGATCAAACAGCCTCAAGTAAAACATCTTGCACCATTAAGGTTGTGTAACATCTACTTACTGCTTATGAAGGCATGTAGTGATAAATAGTGCTCTCATCTGAAAAATCGGACTCTCTGATGTATTTTGGCCTTTATGAAAAGGGTTATTTGTAAGAGCTGAAGCAACTTAGGTATAAGGAACTGGTGAATGTGATCTGTTGTGCAATGTGTACATTTCCATTAATAATCTACCTATTCTAATTTGGTATAATGAATAAGAAATATATGGTTATTGTGTTTGTTGTTTATCTTTTGTACTTGAAAGTGTCTGCCTTTGCATAAAGTGACATAGGAGTATCATTGGTCAAGGCAATGGCTTTCAGTGTTTCTGCTTTGAAAGAAAATGATGGAAGTGGTGGTTGAATCTACAGGTCATCGCTCTCTACCAAGCCAGACTGCATTGTCAGGTGGACTGGATTTGCTTCAGGCTGGAAAGCTGCTTTGATGTCAAGTCCTTGGTCACACAGTGCAGCGTATCGGCTGGCTGAGGGCCGCACCTTCTTTGGCTTGGTTGTCTGAGGTGGTTGTTGCCACTGAGCTACAGATTAAAAAGGAAAGAAAAAATGTTAGCCGTCATCTGAGCTGGGCAACAAAGTGTGCCAGATCCACCCTTTGTAAAGGAGATACTGACTTCTGAGCAGGCAACAACCATTGTATCAGAGGTGAGTTTGTTTCATTTCTTGGTATAGTTTGTTTGGTTTTTGTTTTTTTAAACCTCAGCATCTAGTTTCACCTTCAAACATGACATGTAAACCCAATAGTGCCTGTGTCTGTTACTTTGCGTTTTTGTCACTGCTTCTACCTTTCCTTGTGTCACTGGGAAGGGTAACAGTGAGGGGGTTGTTTCCGTGCACTCGTATTCCAGTGACAGGCCTGTTCAAGGGTTGCTTGTTGTATATAAAAGGAAACCACCTGGATGCCATTGCCACCCCTTGTATGCTAAAACATGCTGAGCCAAGTCTCCTCTTCACAAGTCTCGCTACCACCCCCACCCCCACCAAAAAACATCCTTCATCATTCCCATCTCTCCCATCTCTCCCTCCCTCCCTTCCTTATTCTTGTTATGAAAACACTGGTGAGAGAAAACATTCAGTGTGCGAGGGGCTGCTTTGGAACAAACTGAGTAATTAAGCAGAAAGCCATCAAAACACCTACTACACTTCTGGTAGCTGTCACAGGTGTATTACAGACTGATGTACAAAGGAATAAAAAAGGTTAGGGAAGTGCTAGCAGAGCAACAGTAATAATGATCCACAAAAATAACATAAGCATGCCGTTATCTGTTGTTAATTAGCTCTACTTAATATACTAAGCAAAGCCGGAAAGCATGCATGCTTGTTTTGCTTTAGGTATCTGAAAGATGCTGAAATATACTTTGACAGAGCATTTGTTGTCTTGATGTGGATCGTTATTATTGAGGAGAAACTATAAACAAAAGAAAGAGAGACCAAGGTAAACCATTCTGTGAACAAACGGAAACTTACACAACTGTTGCTTTTAGGGTAACTAGTATGATCACAAAACCTGGAGTCACTTACTATAAACATCCAACCTGGCAGTGCACGACACAATCCCAGCCTCATTCTTAGCTGAAACCGTGTACCATCCAGCATCCTCCTTTGTAGCTCCCTGAATAAGTAGGCAAATGTAGCCATAGCTATCCTGGTGCATGCTAAACAAAAGAAAAGCAGAAAATTAGTATTTAAAATGGTGAAACACTGTAGACTACTTTAAAATGTCATCATAAACTGACCTCATCCTAGTTACAGATTAAATATAGCCTATTTTAAATTAATGTGGAACTTCGTCTGAAATTAGCAAGTGGAAAATCAAACCTTGAGTATGCTTGACAATTTGGTGGTCTAATATCCTGCACTTAAAACTAAGAAGCAAAAATGCATGAAGTAACTTCTCTTTCACAATCACAGATTAAGACATCTAGAAATCTGATTTAAGTCATTGGGACACAAGAACTTTTTTGGGAAAGGATAAAAAACTCAAGGAATGAGGTACTGAAATGCTCTCCGTTATTGCTGTCCTTCTAAATAATGTATTAGTGTTCTATCAGGAATGAGTTTCTTTTCTTGCAACGTATCATCAGTTTGCTTTTAAAAATTCCTACAGATGTTACCAAATGTCAAAGACAAGTTTATAGATCTCAATATAAAATACTGAACCTTAGTTGCTTAACTACACAACAGTTAGGAATCAAGGTTTCTGCTGAGAAGCAGACAGCTTTCTTTAGGAGCCTAGGTTTTCACCAGGACACTGCTAAAAGTCTTAGTTCTAGAAGATAAAAACCACTTCTCCACTTGCTTAAAGTGCAAAGATAGCTGTTTAATTCCAAGGATGGAAAACAGAACCAACGTTTTAATTCTGGCTCGGCCACCAGGCTGGCTGCAAGTCTGAGTAAATGTCATAAATTATTACACTATCTCATTTATGTTTATGAGATGCTGCTCACACAGAGCATTCTTACGGCCTTCTAGGTTTTCATTCGTGCTACAGGATAAGTCATCACTGAAGTTTTACACAGGGAGAGGATTCTAAGGCAGTCTCACCTCACTCGGTCAGTGTTGTATGTGAGTGACTCATTCTCCTTCTTCCAAAATATCTGAGGGGATGGCTCCCCCGAGATCCGACACTCCAGCCGCACTGGGAATCCCTCGGTCACACCCGTGTTCTGTAGCTTCTCTATAAACACAGGTGCTTTGTGTACTTCCTTAGCTGTGAAAACAAAGATGGCGTCACGTTGACAGTAGTCTCTGACAGTGCAGCTCTTACTCCAGCAACATGCTAAAACCTGTAATGGAAGATCTAAGTGGCAGGAACCTGAAGTGTTGTCTTCATTAATCACAAAGTCAAGTCCTGGTTCATCTGAAGGGAACGGTCAGATCAGGATTGTCATAGGGGAAAAGTGAGCACTAATAGAGCTGAGGGGTTCCCCCCTTCCCCAAAAGAGTTGAAATATGGCATGTGAAGATCAGATAAAGTGGCTATTCTCTGCTTGTCAAGCAGTGCTCCTTCATGCTCCCTAGAAGGATGGCTTTTAATTGTAGAAGGGACTGCTCTACCTGGAGGCTGGAATGGCATCACCGTAATACGCTGTGAAACACACAACTCATATGGTACTGGTAGATACGCTCTGCACAAATTGCTTTTAAAAACCCAGTCACATAAATAGCCTGGCTTGCGGTCCCTGCTGTGCCTCAGGACAGCAGCCCTCTTCTCTTAACTGTGCGCTCAGGCCTTATGTATCAGTCAGCTTATGGCACCACGTAACGTTAATTGTATCACTGTAAATGTAAGTTCTGTTTCTAACAGGTTTCCTTTTCTTACCCCACTACCTCAGCCATGTCACTTGCCAGCACTTACACCGTCCTGTGCGTTGTTACCCTTACAGTGCTCGGGGTGGGAGCTTCGTGTGAAGATGTTACCTGCAACAATGAGCTCCAGGCTGAACGTGTTCTCGCCAGCCCGATTGCTGGCGATGCATGTGTAGATTCCCGCATCTCTGGCTGTGACTGGTTCTATGATCAAGGAGTGCACACCATTCTCACGCACCAGCATTTTGTGAGAACTATCAGGGCGAATTGGTCTTCCATTCAGTTGCCAGCTTAAATCTGGAGTCGGTAATCCACTAACCTTAAGTGTAAACAGAATAATGGGAATTGGTCTTAGCCATACAAAACACTGGAGGAGTCCCAACTTGTTACATCAGAGAAGTCTGGGTTGGTTTGCTACGGCAGGTGTACCACAAGATTTAAAGATCTTTGACTCAGTTGTATTCATTTACTTTCTGGCTGACTCCCTGAATTCCATGATGTCTTATGGGTGTGACTGAAAAAAAAGATCAGTGTTTAGATATGCTAGAAGCTAAATAATACTACATTGCAAAACAAAAGGCAGGGTGACACCTTTTGTCTTTCTTATTGTTTGCTCTTCAGGTGGAATGAGAAGATAGATAGTCCTTTCTTGATTAACTTCTTGTGGGGAACTTGCAGACAAAAAGATGCTAGCTGATTAATTACTGAACTCAAAGTTCCATTCCACTTAGGTGTGACGCAGTGACAGCACCACCTGCTCAGGTTAATGCTTGGTCTGTGTGAACAAGTGCACTTTTGAAAGCTGTGCCATTTGCTGTGGGTACTGCATGAAAACAAATAGCTTCTCACAAATAGATCAGCAGAAAGTACACAAGAGTCATCCAAGCCTGAATTAATTCTGTTCAGCAAAGTCATAAATCAAGGCTATAGTTTTTTAAACTTTAACAGAGGATCAAAACTCAAGTGGCAAAAGGACTTGAAACAGAGAAGCGCATTGTCCTTGTGGTGTGTGCTGCTTCCCTCCACACCCCTGCCTATCTGAATCCTGAAAATCAGTTTTCTGTAAGCTGCAAGATTTGCCCGGGCAGGCAGACTTTTATTGTCTACTTACTTGTATGCAGTGAGATTAACTGACCTATTGACAGTTGCTGAACTGCCAGTAGGCAAAATAGCTGTAAAAATAAATTAACTGAGGTGTTGAGTGGAGCACTGCTCCCAAAAGGTCCCCACTACCCTCTGCGTGGTACTTGCCTTGCAATCCATTCTGCACAGTTTTCCTTCTTGAACAGTCAGGTCTCCAGGAGCCTGCAGGAAATGAGGCCGGAAAAATCGTTCCTGGATGGGTTCATTTTCATCACCGCTGTCCCTTGATCGAGATCGTGGTCTTAAAATAACATAAAATAAAGGTAAATTGGTTTTTTTCTCTGCTACATCAGAACCACCAAAATCACTTACGAGATTTGTTTGAATTTTAGATCACTCCTTTGACCTATACCATAATCACTGTATTTACACACACACTGAGTTGGCTCAGACTGAGTTAATTATGACACAGTACTTATTAATTGCTTTCATTTAATTCACGTCTTATGGCAAAGTATGATCTAGAAGACAAACTTGCTACAGAATAATTGCTTGTAGCAATTTTATTTATACATGGTAGTATTTTTGTTTAGAGTTGGTCCTTAAATGACTGAAATACAAATAACATAAGTCAGTAGGCCTTAGCATAAAGCTCAGTTCCTCATTTCTAGTGTTCTGTATATTTAATCCCTTCACTGTTGCTGATGACACCACCAAGTGTGTGTAGTTCATTAATTACATTTACCTTTCAGGAAAAAACAGCAGTTAAAAGCCATCTCATCTCAGCTGAGAAGGGACTTCTCACAACAGACTTACTTTTCACCATCGCTTGTTCTGCACTACCAAAGACCATACAGAAAAGTCTGCGGATTAAAGTGCTGTGAGTATTTATTCCTCATTTAGCAGTTTTTTGTTTGAGATAGTCTCAAACACTTTCAAAGCCACTAAATTGTGGTGTCAAAACCACGAGGATTTCATTTGTGAGCAACAGGAAGAAAATCTTCAGTGACTAAATAGTTCTTTATAAAGGTACTGTGAAAAGTTCAGTAAAAAATAAAAAGAAGGAAAAATAACTCCTGTCCCCAGAAACAACATCAATTACCTTAAACCTCCAGGATATCACTTAATCCGTTGCACTGGCTGTTCTTGCCTGTTAATTTAATTTATTAAATCTTTTTCTAAGTGGTTCCTCATTTAACTGGATTTTTCCCCAGTTGAAATCAACATTATTCCACTTGTATGATTCGGTAATCAGAGAGACTTGGAACTGAAACAGAATTTGAGATCAGTTTTTGTCCTTGCCTGATCAGCTCCAGTGGGTCCCATTCTGGAGCCAGCTGCTGCCTTGCAATGACATCCTGTTGCAGTGAAGAGGAGCTATTCAGCTGTCCTCCAGCGTAACTTACATCAGTGACACTGTACAGTGAAATTCTCTTTTGTGAATCTCATTTTCCGTTACCTTTTGCCAGTGTTTCTGTGTCTGCAGGATACATGCTGCACTACACGTGGCTACAGTGTGGGTTTTTTATACTGCCCAGGGGTGTTTCTTTAGGTTAAAATACTTCAATACAAAAAAAGCTCAAACCTCTCAACAGTTACATCTGGAAAACAAGATGCTGTACTACTGTACAGCAGATAAACACTCCAGCTGCACACTGAGGGGAAGTATAGTCAAGAGTTGCTTGAATCGGGTGTATTTTGTCCTTCTCTCTTGTTTTCCTTATCTCTATTACTGCTCTGTTTGACTTCTGACCTACCTGTCATAAAGAGATAATTTTTAATGATCATCACAGGCTTCCCATAGGTATAACTAAAGGCAGACGTGTGTGTCTGGGAAATCTACCCCATACTGCTTATCAACGTAGAACGGATACCAAACTGGGCAATGCAGACTGACACTCTGCATATACTAAAAGCGTGTGTTACTCTTGAGGTGCCCCTGTCCAGGTCTGGAGCAGTTAGTATTTTTTTTTTCTACTTGAACATGCCTAAAGCTACTTCAGTAGCTGCTGTGTTACAGCTCATGAGCAAGACTAAGCTCTAGTTGGCAAGTTCCTAACTGATTTCTGCAGACATCCATGCCTCGTGTGCACGTAGGTGGGGTAGAGATGGATGGAAGCAAAGAAAACCTGTACTTGTATCTTTTGGTTATTAGTTTTGCAAGACTACCTGGAAGTGATGGATCTGGGCAAGTGAGTTCTACACAGTGTGGGCAACCCACAGAAAATCTGTCTTCATAGTGCTCATGTGCATCCTGTTTAGGTACTGTTGATAAAGCACTGGTGCAGTAAAAGTAACTAGTACAAGGCTGGGCCAAACAGGTCAACTAGCCCAGCTGAAAGCCACCACCTCACTGCTGCAGCTCCATGGAAAGGCAGCTCTGATCAAAACAGGGGAGAAATTACAGAGTTTGTGACCAAAGCTGTTTTTTTGATAGTATGTTTTCGAATTGTGCAAACTAAGTCTTCAAATTACATACGTGAAAGGAAACCTAAATCAACAAGCTGTTCAGAGTCAGAAGTAAATGACATGTTTCTTTTTACCTCTTTGTAAATTTACCTCTGGCATTCCAGACTTACTTTTTAAGCATTTTTACCTTGAGAGGTGAAACAAGGATTATTTTAATTGTAAAACATTTTGTGGTTTTCAAGAAACAACAAAATGAGTAGAGCCAAGTACTTCAGATGTCTAGGAATGACAAATTGCAGGAGACTGGAATACCCTTGGATTAGCCGTGTGTTCTTCAGAGCTGTGATGTGGGCATCATATTGCAGAAACTAGTTTCAGCAATACTGATATCATGTACTAAATGTGGCCAGGGGAGACTCTGTGGGCTGCTGTGGCGCAATGCACCAGGAATGTCAGCGAGTGAGAAGCTGGGGAAGACTTTATAACTGACCATATGATAATGATCACTAATTTGGGATAAAGGAGATTAAGTTCAAATTAATCCTCTAATTAAGAGCAAGGGCAATGGGACTATTTATTTTTTAAGTCTTCCCTAAATCTTATGCATTTTAGGATGATTTATGTGGGGCTCTGGCTGCAGTGCACCACGAGAGAGCTACAGTGTTGAGCACCATGGTGCCTAAGGGGTTGTTGACCCACAGCTTGGTACACATCAGACAGTTCAAAAGCTCCCTCCTCACTGACAAAGTACTGCTAAGAAGGTGCTGTTTGCAAGCTAAGCACATTTAAGAAAAATATATCAAGAATGGAATAACAACTACAAGGAGTGCTTTAAAATGTCCATGACGTGGTGAAGATGACAAAAACCAGAGTTCTGCCAGAACACACTCTGTGAGAGATTAAAAGTACATCAGGAGAAAGCCTGTCAATGGTGTAACAAGTCATAAAGTTCATTAAGCTAACAATCATACTTGTAAAAAAAGCCCAACACTTGTTGCTCTCAAGCAGAAAAGCTTATAGAAATCATACTGTAATGCCCAGGAATATCACTTACCAAAAGTACCCAGTGGTGCATGTGACACATACCACAGTGCAGGGGGTGCCTTACAAGCAAACAGCCAGTGGCGGGGTTTTTTTGCCCACAGTGCAGGGGGTGCTTTACAAGCAACCAGCCAGTGGCGGGGGCTGTTTTAGGGGGACACAAGACCCCCACTGGCCTTGGCGACACTGGCTGGTGGGAGGGGTGAGAAATGTCCCCTAAGCAGAAATAGGAGTGTGCTGAATGCTGAGCAGGAAGAGACCTTCCATAAGTAAAGGTATCAGGGTTAGCTCTGCACACAGAGTCATTTTACAGGAAATAAGAATCCCCAATAATTGTCCTAATTTTAATTAAACTGCTCTTATTTATAATTTGTTACTGTACTGGACACCCAGTCACAGCAAGTGAGAAATGTCCCCTAAGCAGAAATAGGAGTGTGCTGAATGCTGAGCAGGAAGAGACCTTCCATAAGTAAAGGTATCAGGGTTAGCTCTGCACACAGAGTCATTTTACAGGAAATAAGAATCCCCAATAATTGTCCTAATTTTAATTAAACTGCTCTTATTTATAATTTGTTACTGTACTGGACACCCAGTCACAGCAATAGTGGCTGCCTGAAAATAAAGCCCCAGCCATAAGCAGCCTCAGACTTCGATTGCATTTGGAGAGATTGGAAAAAAGCCTCCTCTATTATTACCCAAGGGTTCTGCATACTGCAAAGAGAGACAGATACCCACATTTTATCCTTCAGAAAGGTACAGAAGTGTCTGTCAGCTGCTCACTGCTCTCCCTGCACCCATCATCCTTTCTACCATCCCCATTTTTAAAGATGTTTCCCCTTTCTCACCCTGTGCACACGGACTCATTCAGTTGGAACTTGGCTTTTTGTGACAGCTTTTCCCTTCAGGGATTAGCAGAGACTTTTCATTTTGCCCCATTACTTTACTGGACAGGACATGCTGGGCAGACCCAGCTTTTCTGGGCTGCTCTCACAGTGCAGCAATAGCAGGATGTCCCCCTCCATGAGCATTCTGGGCTTTGGGCTTAACAGGCTGAAACATGAAATGTTGGAGGAGAAGGTGGTAGGATGCCTGAGTGAGGTGCCAGGAAATGCTTTCAGGGCTGTGTGAAGCTCAGTTTGTTCTATGCAGGAATAACACTGGTCTTTTAAACAACCAGCCTCGCTTCCTAGTATTGCCTAGTTATGGGAGGGGTGGCAAGAGCCTGGTTTGCATGCAGCAGTGCTACAGTACATGCTGCCACCACGCTAATTGTTACAGAACTCGTTTTGTTATGGCACACTGACTGTGTAATTACATCTGCTCCATGTATTACAGTTAGTTAGGCAGCACTGAGATTCTGTGGCCATTGTGACCCATCAGTGAAACACACCTTATCAGGGCAGAATCTGGAACTGGAGCCCTCAAACTCCCCTGAAAGCAGTTCTCTTTGGGTACCCAAAATAAAATGTTTTTTTAGTGTCTGTCAATGTCTAGGCTGTGCTAAATAGCCTCATAAATGCTTTGGGTAACGAAAAAAAGTATCATCTGAAGTGAAAATTCCCTTATATGGTCCAAAACCATAAACCAAAGTTTCGTATATGAATAATTGTAAACTCACCCAAGATAAGTTTAATACTTCATTTCTGACTCATAATTCCTTATAAGAACCTGAACTGAAACTCATATATTTGTAATGTAAATCTAATAAACGTCCTTGGCATGCAGTTATTTCTGCTGGTTCTTTCAATGAAGCCTTACTAAAACCTGCAGAAAGCAGAGGTTCCCAGTAGAATCCTAGTCAGGTGAGATGTTTTAAAAAACCCTGTAAGTGACAAGGTCCTTCCCAGCAGCTGACGGTGCAATTTGCAATGAGGAGCAATCAGTGCGCATCACAAAGATAGGAGGAGGAGGAGACATTAAAAATTCAAGATACGTAAACATGCTGTCATTCCAGAGGTTGCCTGGGCTTCTGAGAGTGCAAGCTTTGCAGAGCTTTTAAGACAGCAGAGGTCACATTTCTTCCCGAATGCCACACTTTTAACTTACCTTCTAACTTACCTTCTTCCTTCACATTTTTTATCTTACCATAATAATTTTGCAAAAAGTTATTATTAAAAGAAAGGAAGAAAAAGGCATCAAATACCTTCTCATATGCGGCTGACCAGAAGGTGACCATGGACTGCGGCCTCTTTGATTTACAGCTTGAACCATCAGCCTGCCCGTGCAACTTACTCTGCCCTGTTGCAATGATGGAGAGAAGGAACATGAGAAGACTTAAAGCACGAATTACTAATAAGTGTTCAACCCGCTCTCATCTTTTCTGCCCACCAGTCTCTTCTTTCACAAAGTCATTGACAAGCATTTGTCAAGATACCTTCTGATGTTAAACTGTTTTATTAGCTTCCAGTCTAACCCAGAACAGACTGGAACAGCCGTGAATGTAAGAGAGTCCTGGTTACAGTGTTCCACCTGGAAGTTTATCTTGTAAAAAGATGGTTGGTACCTGTGGCAACAAAGTCCTTAAAACAGCTATTGCTGTGGGATGGAGGTTACTCTGCATACAGCAAGTGGACAGAAAGAAAACTAGTGCAAGATAGTGAAAATGGCACTTGGTAAGTGCTGGCGGGTAGTGACAGAGCTGCTGCCTCCCAGGTGGATGGATCCACTTCACCTGGTGGAGGCACAGCTCAGAAAATGCCACAAATGGAAAACCCAAATGAACTGTGTGAGTATATAAAGTGCCCTCTCTACAGCGTGAGCCTGGCTTGGGGGCAGGAATCGCACAGAAGCACATGCTGTGCTGGTGGGTGTTGGAAGCAGTTCAGCTGTCTCAGGTTATTTGCATCAAATGATAACCAGAGCATGGGCTCTCTGATATTATGTCCCCTGTTTTGTTTTACTCTGGTTTTTAGAAGACAGGTTGCCCACCACAAGCACTGGTGGTAACAAGGTTGGGATGGGTCTGCCTGACACCCCAACTGCTTATGTCCAGGGCTCTGAGCATTCACCCTGTAAGGGGTAAAAGCATCTGGTGGTATTAATAAATACACACAGTGGATGCAAATATCAAAGCTATGTATAAAAAAGAATACTATAGTAAAAGTCTACAGACTTTTATATTGCAATGTAATGATTTTAATAACTTCCGAAAACCAGTAGTTTTTAACTAGCTGTTTGGTAAATGTACAGAAGGTGTACGTCTGTCTCTGCCCCTGGGGCTGGTAGCAGTAAGGCAACAGCCACATCAGCTTTGCAGTGTGCTCCACTCTAAGCTGTGAGTTCCACACTTGAGTCTGTCAGCATAATGGTGACAAGTATTGTTGTCGCAGTAGTTCAGGGGTTGCAGATCACTGTTCACTAACAACAGGCCAAAGCCCATCAAAAACCAATTTCACTGTGGTCACAAGTGGCCTTCAAATGGCAACGACCTTTGTGTTAGTGCTGGGCTGTTAGAAATTAAGTCTATGTTCCGCTTTCATTCCCATGACCCAGTTAGTCCACAAGAAAAACACTTGCCTTAAAATAAGCCATTGTGCATGACCTGTGGCAGTTTCTAAGCAAAAGGGATTTTTTGTGTGTTGCAAGACCATTGAAGACATCCAGAACAAATCCGTTCCTATTTTAGGCACCACTGCATATTAATCTTTTTCTGGCAGGTGGTGAACACACATTTGGAGGATAATTACTGTAAATTTCAATACACAAAGGCAGCACAAATGGAAGCACAAAGGACAGTAAGGGGAATTTGGATAGGGAAGAACAAGCACAAAACCTGATACTTGGAAAAGTCATGGGATAAATAGGAAGGAAGCAACGAGTGGGAAGTAATTTGCCTAGGAAACAAGGCAAACCTGGAGTAAGGCCTGTGGGTGTGTAGTGCAAAGAAGTGGAGAGAATGGGATGAAAAGAAAGAAGGTGTAAACAGGGACTTGGCTGGAGCCCATCCAGTCCCCGGAAAGTGAGCAGTTAAGGGACGTCTCTGGTAACTAAGGGCCCAGGCCAGGGTTTGTGTTTGTTTAGGCCCGGGGTCTGTTTGCTCTGGATAAGGTTATATGGCAAATTTTACTGCAAACCCCCATGGTGCGCAAGAACCTCAGTTCCACAGTGTGGCACTTGACATCACAGGCAATGGTGCCCACCTTGTTCACTGCCACGGACAATCCGCAAGGTCTGCCAACAAGCCGTTTTGCAAACGTAAGTCCTGTTGGACTAGTCCAGACAGTGAGGTGGCATAAACTGGCACAGCTTTAATTAACTGAATCCTCTGCTTTAACAAAATCAATTTCTATCTGCTAAGAATATGCCTTTTTGCTTTGTGGTTTGGTGGCTCCAATAGCAACGACCTGGCAAGTATCTGCTGGTCCATCAGAACCCTGATGGAGGCTCTCTTATGTTTACGTATTTCACTATTCCTAAGGAAAAGTTGCCAAATTTGCCTAAGTTTGTGATAGCTCTGAGAGGTGGACAACTTTCCATTAGAATTGAGAAGGCCATGCCAAACTTATTTCCACTCAGATGACTTAAAAGAATTGGAATCCAGATCTTTGAGTGTGAAAGGCGAGTGCATTAACTCATAGCCCTTCTTTGCCTCCATTGTACTGTTAAACGCGTAGTAAAAGCAAGCAAATAGTAGAAGAGATAAGTAAGTTTGCTTGGGAATTACCTTGTAAAGCAAGAACAGAATGGGCTTGGTGAAACAGACAGATGTTTTGTTTAGGGGAGCCAAAGGAGGACACTTCTGATTCTTCTCCAAAGGTGTGTGGGGGGGGAGGCAAATGCAGGATTTTGTCATTTGACAAAACTGCTTTTTTAATCCCCAAACTAGGAACACAAACCCAGCTCATTTTAGTACATCCAAAAGCCCAAGAACAAACTAGTGTCATCAGTGACCAGAACCAATAAACTAAGTCACTGTTGTGCTACTGAATGAGCATTATCAAGATTAGCAAATGCCAAAAGTAGGCCTACCTACTCAGGGACAAAGGACAATGCCCAAACACAAAGGCAGTTTATTCACCAAGTTCTCCAAGATTTTGGTTCACACCATAACACTGCACAGGGAAACTCTGCACATGTGCTAACACTTACAGGAAGATGAACAGGATTCATTTCTTACCTTGAACATGTACGTATTTATCTAACACTTTTAAACCTCCTGTGAATTTCCACTATTTAAATGGTACCAATTGTTCTAACACAATGGTCATCTGTGTCTAAGAGCTCCCAGCTTGAGAAATCCCCTTGGCCTTATGCGATTTCATTATTATTTCTTTGTTTCTGTTACTCGTATATGTATGAACAACATTTAAACTACTTAGATTTAAGCACTGTGGTTTGTAGCATCCAGCCTCGAGCTGGGGTTTGCACATCGCCTGCATGCACAAGCCCATAGGTTTTCAAGCACACTGCAGTGTGAATAGGACTGACAGTAAGAGAGCAAGGCAAAATGGCAGTGTCATGCTAAGTAACCTAGCAACAGTCATAACAGAGCACAACACTTCTGCTTAGATTAAACTGTCTCAGAGATACAGTTTGTTATTTTACAGTGTGATTCTACTTGCAGGCCTGATCTTGGCAAGATGCTTGGTGCTACAGAAGAAAGTAATTTGTTACATCCCTAACGTTACGTTCCTGCCTTGGTTCCTCACTTGCAAATCTTCCCCCTCGACTTGCTGTGCTGTAGGAAAAGCAGACTGAAAGTTACTTCACTAGGATGCTTAAACTGGAAGTTTAGCCATTTCCAGCACACCTGAGGGTTCCTGTTGAAGACCTCAGCTCTTCTACTGCGTCTGCAAAGAACAAATAGCATTACAAACCCAGTAATGCTCCATGTTTCAGGAAAACGTTGTTAAAGGCTTTGAGGTCAACCCAGAGGACCTCCCCGCTCCATAGTTAAGTGCTAGAATGTTTTGCCTTACAGAATTACAATCACTGCCTAAAGTAAACATGTTGAGGTGTTACACACTCCCACTCCCTTCCAAAAGCTGGCCTCAGCCGGTGAGTAGTGTCAACAAAAGCAAAATGAAATTGTGGATTAGGTTACTTCTGCTGGTGAACTGGATTTTTTTCTGCCTTTATAGTACACATGCTATCCATGCTCAGTTAGGCTTCAGAGATGTTATCAGCTGAAACAAATGGTGGAAGAGTGATTAAAACCCAGCGCCCCTCCCCTCTGAAACCTCAAACCATAGGAAAAAACCTGCTGTTGAGTTGCTAATCTCTTGGAGATAGAAAGGTCCCACCCTACTGATGCAAGATGAAAACAGAAATCTAACTTATATATATACTTTATGGTGACTTCATCATTTTAATTAAACCATGCATATGTAAGATGAGATCGTTTTCTGAAGATTTATGTCCAGAAGCACGTTTGCTCTGGAGCCAAACCTTCATTTACCTGGGGGTTAGCAGCCATAATGGTGTAATTCCCATCATCATCCAGGGTGGAGGCTGCAGTATGCAGTGAGCAAGTTCCATCAGGTTCTCTTTGAATTCGGTAGTGATCACTTCGTTTAGAAATTTGCTTCCCGTCTTTAAACCAATAAATCTGCAGGAGAAAACAAGGCCCGGCTGATAAGGGTGGGTGCTCATTGTCATCATTTCTCAATTAATAGCGCTAACGCATCTGACCTGCTGACAACTGTGCCAGTAAGCATGGAAAGCAAACCGGTTTGGTGGACCAGCAGAAGTGTAGAACCACACTCCATGAACCACTTTCACTAAAAGACAAGTTACAGGTCAGCAATGGTTCAAAGAGAAGGACGCACGAGCATTTACCAAGGAACCTTACACAGGTGCATAAGGGCCACTGAACGTCCGAAGAGCTGAAAATAAGCGTCGTGACTAAGGAAAGTTCTATTTCAGAGAAGAGGACTCAGTTTAAGGTTTTATTTCACTTAAATCTAAGAAGCTGCAGAAAGAACTTAAGAATGATATTCTGCTCTTTTCAGAAAAGAAAAATGTAATTATGGAAATAATTAATCCAGTGATGAATAAAATAGAAGTCATGATCTCACTGTTGAAACCATTTGTGTCTCACATCCATTACACTGACAGGAC